AGCGAGTTATGTGCACCAACTCAATCTTATTTGTGGAATGTGTGTGATGTGTGTGGTGGTAAAAATGGTCACCTTCATGGTTGTGCTTATATTTCTTATTTTCCCCCAACCCCTTACTATGACAGTTCTACCTTTTTTTGTGAAGTTAATAGGAACAAAGAACCTGGGAATGCGGACCCGAAGGAGATCAAGGATATGCTAAAGTGCCTTCTGGAATAAAACAATGAGAAACAATTGCACATAGAAAGGCAAGAGGCAACTATTCGCAAGTTGGGGGCTCAATTGAGTCAAGTGGTTGGAGCTTTTAATGCTCAACAAGCCAATATTGAGGATAGTAGCCAAGAAGAGCATGAATTTGAAGTGTTAATTGGGGAGGTCAGAGTAGAACATCAACAACCTAGCCAACTAGAATTTGAGGATGTCAATGTTGAAGAAGTAATACTAGAGTCAACCAAGGACGTTGAAGATACAAATTTAGTTGACTCTAGTGTGATTGGTGTTGAGGAGGTTAAAAATCTTGAAGTTCATGTATTTGAGCGCGTTGGGCCTCATTCCAAACACTTCTCTGCATTATGTTCAGACGGTGAAATGGAAACTCACCCTTATGAGCAGAAAAAGGAGTCCAAGGAAGAGGTAGATGAGCCTTATATTTTGGATTTCTCAAGGCCGTCTAGGCAAGGTGACACTCCTCGGTCGAGAGCCAACAAGTGCATAAGATTTTATCTAATTTTTGGCTCGCAAGAATTTGTACCGCCCCAAGAACATAATCATAAGCTTGAAGCAAAACTTGGGGTTCAATTCATAAGCTCGAGGTGGAGGCAAAAAGTGATTCGCGTCGTGCTGCGACGTTAAATCAAGCGCTTGTTGGGAGGCAACCCAGCTTTATTGCTTTCTTTTTTTTTTAATTGTATTATTTTTGTAGTGTCAATTTTTTATTTTTTTAGGAGAATGGAAAGCAAAGGTATTGGAAGGATGCAACAGCAAACCAAATGGCTGGAACTAAGTGCGAGGTACCCGCACGAAGGACCAAGCTTGGGAGAAGTCTGAGTACCCCATGAGTTGTTAGTGCTTCGGCCTTTGGCCTACCAGGGAGTCTCTTTTACCCTTTTATTAGTTATGGTGTGCATTGGGGACAATGCACAATTTTAAGTGTGGGGTAATGAGATTGTCTGGGTGACTTTTCATGCTAATTTAGCTGTATTAGTTTAATTAAATAGTATTTTTTTTTTAAAAAAGATTGGACTTTTCCCGACGATGGATCTATTAGACAATTTTCTTGAGGGATTGAAGTCTAAAGAAAAAAGACAAAAAGATTTTCTTTGTAGGTAGTGTAATAATTCCCCCTTGGTTTTTCTTTGTGCCGCGGTTCTTTTCCAAGGATTTTATTTGAACCGGGTGTAGTTAGTTTCTTTTTTTAGGAATAGGAGCCATTGTGTTGTGTTTTGAATTGAAGCAATATCTCTTGATTTTTGTTATGCCTTGAGAATAGTGAGTACTTTGGTTGTGACGCTTAGGCTCAGTTTTTGACTCTTGTATAAGTACCTTAAATTGTATGATTTTAAATTTGCTTAACTACTTTGACTAGAGTGTCTTGATGAATCCAATCCTGAGTGAGTTATGTGCCATGTGTGTGTGAGGTTTGGTGTTATTCTGTGCATTGCATTTGATGCCTAGAACTTGCCCCGTGTGTTTGCAAAGCGAAATAGTAGTGTTGTTCAGTCTTGGAAGTGATATAGGCGTTTTCTTGTTGAGCCAGATATGTATATTTTACGCACCTAATTGTTATGTATCGTAGTTAACCTCTTTGAGCCTATAATCCTTTTCCTTTGGCAACCACATTACAAGCCTTACCTATTTGTTTGAATTAACCATCTATTTGAACCTTTTCACCTCTCATGAGCACTTGAATTGTTATGAACTTTGTAAAAGTTAAAGTGTGGGGTGGTTGGTTTGGCTTTTGAGTGGAACTAATTGAATAAGGAGAAAGGTGCACTGTATTGAAAAAGGAAGAGCCACTTGAATTGAAAAAAAATATAGTTGGATTGTTGTGAAAAAAAAAATTTCTTGATAAGTGGTGGCTCTTGAGGTAAGTGTGCTTAAAGAAGTATGAGGTAATATACATTGATGTGAAGGTGGAGTTTGGTTTGACATAAGTATGGGGTTTGAATGTTAAAGTATATGTATTAAAGTGCTTAGGGAGGTGTAGTCACTCTTATATCTAAATATATCCTACCTGTCCCGTAGCCTACATTACAACCAAATAAAATCCTAATTGATCCTAGATTGAATGAGCTCGATTAGTGGAGTAGTACACTATGGTCAAGCTTATGGTGCATCTTTTGTGGCATATGAATGTTATTTCTGAGAGTGAGTGAATTCTTTCTATCTTGAGTTCCTAAGTGTTCTTAAATTTTATTGTGTGGAACTACTCTCTTTTGTTGTGTGAGGGCACTTGATTCACGAAGGAAAGGTAATGTCAGTGACCTCTATATTAGAGTAAGTGGGTGAGTTGTGAATAACGTGTGGTACTTGTGAGTCAAATCTTGAGGTGAAGATGTTACGCTTTTGTGCTTAGTCTATTTTAAATACTCTTGGTGTAATGAGTTAGGAGAATTGTTTAAAAAGGCCGTGTCTATAAAAAAAAGTGTAGTTTGATTGCTCGAGGATGAGCAATGATTTAAGTGTGGGGTGTTGATGATAGGCTATAATTGCGTATTTTAGTCGCTTATTACACTCTAATATACTGCACTTTAATTGAGTTTGCGCTTTAATGCTAATGTTTTGCACTAACGGTGTGTTTTATGCCTTGTAGGAGTGATTCCGAGATATATAGATGTTATGGAATGAATTCAAGTGATTTGGATGTTTGAAGTCTGAGTAAAAGCCCAAGGAATTAAGCCAGGATCGTATTCGGGGATCAACGGATGATAAAACAACAAAACGAAGACTCGATGAGGCATATTGCGCACTGTCTAGTAAAATAGACATAACGTTTTGCTCAGAACTCCATTTGGGATCCACAATATATGGTTGGAAAGCTAACTCAAAGGGCTACAACTTTCATGTTTTACGTTTTTCCAAATTTCAAACGGAACAGGGTGAAAAACCGCGGTTACGGTAGGATTGCGGTAGGACCGCGGCAGAATATTACCAAAGATTCAGAGGACCATTCTGGCTGCAGTCCTGGCGTAACCGCGGTGGGACTGCGGCAGGACGCGTAAATTTCAGGGACTAAAGTGCAAAATACGGGATTTTAAGCCCTATATTAAACGAGGGAGGCCGGCCAAGAGCGGAGAGAATGAGTTTTCGAAGTGAAAAACATCAGAAGGAAGGGCAAAAGGCAAGGAGGATCATTGGGCATCAATCTTTAATCTTCTTCTTTGTTCTTTTACCTTTGAATATGAATTCTTTTGTGATTTTTGTTATTTTCATGAGCAGCTAACTTTTCTAATCTAAGGTTTTGGTGAAACCCGTTGGGGATGAATTGGTTGTTATAAGTAATATAGATTTGAATTAGTTTAATCTCTATTTGTTCAACTATGTTTTGATTGTGGTTAATTGAAAGGATCCTCAATTAGCCGTTCCTATTTATTATGTATCTGCTTGAGAGAGAGTGCATATTTAGGTAGTTGTTTGAACAACATCACTCCCGGAGTATAGGCGAGAGTCATAGCCGAGGGTTTAGAGGTTGGATTAGAGATAACGATACCTCGGGTGCGATCTAAGTGAACTGTAATGCAAATCTAGCTAGCGTAGCTTGAGAGAGTGCGTCTAGTAAATTATCATAATTGCTTGAGAGAGATTTATGATAGCTGGAGAGTTCATGATTGATAGAGGCAACTAAGTCAACGCTATAAGAAACATACAACCAAGGAAATCAACAACGGGGGAAACCATTACCTTAGACCTTTATTCTAATTGTTTACAATTCAAGCATAGTTAGTTTTCAGCTGTTTATTTATTTTCAATCTTGTCTTCTTGGTGATATTAAACAGATACAGCTAAGCCTTAGTTCTCTGTGGGATTCGACTCCGGACTTTTAGACCGAATTATATTTGTAGCGACCGCTTATGCTTTTTAGGACTAGAGTTGGGCGTGATCATTAAGCTTACTAGTTAGAGAGGTCAGATAATGGAGAGACATGTCATATGTGTTTTCTAATACTGTTTTCAATTTAAGTAACAAAATGTAAATACTTGAATTACTCATACTAGGTTTACAGGACTAACTGTCCAAGCTTACCATTCAATTTTTAGACCTCTTAATGAATTAACCCACTGTTAGCTCTATTTATGATAACCTTTCCTAGTAGAGTTGGATTTTCGTCAAACATATTTTGATTTATTCAATTTTAGGAAATTATGCAATATAACATAAAAATTGGCTCAATAAAAATTTAAATGTCAAATTTTGAAAAAGGAAAAAAGTTTCTTACAAAATGAATAAACACAGAATGTTGGTGATAATACTTTGTTTTTTTTTTCCGACGGGATAATACTTTGCTGTATTTGCAAAATTATATATGAGCGGTTAAATTGAATTGAAAACAGAACCTATAGGATCCAATTTCCTTTCATAAAAACTGAAGGGACTGAACACTAAATTCTTTTTATAGTTTCAGAAATCCATTGTCAGAAAGGTGACCTGCCGTTTTAACATAGCATGTGCTAACCGGCAACAGTGTAGAATACGTGAAAACGACGCACTACTATCCATTGCTTTTTCTCCCGGACATTTTTGCCCTTCCTTATAATACACTCCACCGTATATTTTAATTGTTTCTTTGTAATTATATCAACAAACAGACCCCGTCGTATAAAGATATTTAAATTAAAAAATGAGCGGCTGGTCTTAACCGTGGTTAATTTAAACCGGAGGATAGAGAATAACCGTAATCCAATCATGACATGTTAGCTCTTAGCTGGCAATCAATCATAACCACGGTTAAATATAACTAATCATGGTTAATCACAACCGCAAGTACTTTTTGTGGGGGATTGCTCCAGTATAAAAGGAAGGGCTTGTAAAATATACTAGAGTGTATCAGATTTGGAAATCGTAGGAAGAGGCGTCTTGATAAACGCCGATTCTTTGAGTTTCAATTTGAAATTCTAGGGTTTCGAAAAAAACAGCGAAAATGAGAGAGTGCATATCGATCCACATTGGTCAGGCCGGTATTCAGGTCGGAAATGCATGCTGGGAACTTTACTGCCTCGAGCATGGCATTCAGGTATGTATACGTCTGTTTAAATTATTTGCATTTAAGGTTCCTTTAATTCGAAATTTGTTTGAATTTTCATTTTGTTACACAGATCTATGTGCTGGTTGAACCTGTTTGAATAATATAAGATCTCTTCAAATGAGAAATGTTTTTGTATAGATCCGTTTGAATTATTTGCATGTCTGTTCTTTTAATGTGAAATTCATTGGAGTCTGCATTTTTCACACAGATCTGTTTGAATCTGCATACGTTTGGGTAGATCTATGTGCTGCGTTTCTTTAAATGCAAATGCTATTTTATAATTCTGCATGAATAATATGATATCAAAATGATTTGAATGCACGTGTTTGAGTAATAGGAAATTATACTCGATTGATGTCAGAAGCATTGGAACATCCACTCGTTTTGATAGATCTATTTGCTGCATAAATCTGTTTGAGTAACATAATTGTTTCTGATTATATCGCTTCAAAGGCGAAACTTTTTTTATATGGATCTGTTTGAATAATCTGAAGTAAAAATGATTTGAATTTCAATTCTTCTTTAGATAGAGTATGTGCGTTGAATAGATCGGATGAATGTTTATAGCATAGTATATATCATATTATCATGTATAATTGAAAATTTTGTGTGTGTAATAGAAAGTCAAATTTTAGATGGATCATCTTGAATGCTATATTCTCTAGTGTATCCTAGAGATTGTTGATGTATCCAATTGGTAAACTGAACATGATGTAAGATTTATTGTGAATAAATGGTAGTTATTGCTGTTAATTGTTGAAATTTAACTAATGTATTCAATTGTTAGGTTCTGCTATGAGATTAGCTTAAAGTTTTGGTATATATAAAAAATGATGTCAATAAGAATTGTATTCTGAAAATGGGATGGTAGTTTTTGAGTTTTTGTTGTGAAGAACCTGTTTTTGATGCATAACTGACAATCTTGTTTCTGTATATCTCCCAAGCCTGATGGCCAGATGCCAGGTGACAAGACAGTTGGAGGAGGTGATGATGCATTCAACACCTTCTTCAGTGAAACTGGGGCAGGAAAGCACGTCCCTCGTGCTGTCTTTGTGGATCTTGAGCCTACTGTCATTGACGAAGTCAGGACTGGAACATACAGGCAGCTCTTTCACCCTGAGCAGCTTATCAGTGGCAAAGAAGATGCAGCCAACAACTTTGCACGTGGACATTATACAAGTAAATACTATTACCTTACTGTAACACTGCATTTAGTTTTGTTCAGCTCGATTAAATTCTTATATTTGTGTTTTTGTCTTGTTTGCAGTTGGGAAAGAGATAGTTGATCTCTGCTTGGATCGCATCAGGAAGCTTGCAGACAACTGTACTGGTCTTCAAGGTTTTCTGGTTTTCAATGCTGTTGGTGGTGGAACTGGTTCAGGTCTTGGGTCACTTCTGCTGGAGCGTCTCTCTGTGGACTATGGCAAGAAATCAAAACTTGGTTTCACCATTTATCCATCACCACAGGTCTCAACCTCTGTGGTGGAACCTTACAACAGTGTCCTGTCAACCCACTCCCTTCTTGAGCACACTGATGTTGCAGTTCTTCTTGACAATGAGGCCATTTATGACATTTGCAGGCGCTCATTGGACATTGAGCGACCCACATACACCAATCTGAACCGACTTATTTCACAGGTATTTATAATCATATCATATGCAGTCTATATTTAGCAAAGTTTCTGCAACTGGGATAATAATTTTGTGCAATCTATGCAGGTCATTTCTTCGTTGACTGCTTCGTTGAGGTTTGATGGGGCACTGAATGTTGATGTGAATGAATTCCAGACCAACCTTGTTCCCTACCCCAGGATTCATTTTATGCTTTCCTCCTATGCTCCTGTCATTTCAGCTGAGAAGGCCTACCATGAGCAGCTCTCAGTTGCAGAGATCACCAACAGTGCTTTTGAGCCATCTTCCATGATGGTTAAGTGTGATCCTCGTCATGGCAAGTACATGGCTTGCTGCCTTATGTTCCGTGGTGATGTTGTGCCAAAGGATGTCAATGCTGCTGTGGCCACCATCAAGACTAAGCGCACCATCCAATTTGTTGACTGGTGCCCTACCGGATTCAAGTGTGGTATCAATTATCAGCCACCGACTGTTGTTCCTGGAGGTGATCTGGCCAAGGTGCAAAGGGCTGTATGTATGATTTCCAACTCAACAAGTGTTGCGGAGGTCTTTTCACGCATTGACCACAAGTTCGATCTGATGTATGCCAAGCGTGCTTTCGTGCACTGGTATGTTGGTGAGGGTATGGAAGAAGGTGAGTTCAGTGAAGCACGTGAAGATCTGGCTGCTCTGGAAAAGGATTACGAGGAAGTTGGTGCTGAATTGGAGGAAGGAGAAGACGATGATCATGAGGAATACTAAATACATGATGCATTGCTTTGTTTGTTGGATTGTATTTTTCTTTGGTTGTTCTTCAGTTGCGGCATTTTAGACATTCCAGTACTAGTTTGTATTTTAATGGTGTCTTGTATGCTGAAATGACTTCTGCTGCTATGAAAGTTCAAACATGCTTGTTTGTGTGAAATTGCTTTATCTTTCGTTTTCTTTTTTCTTTTATTTTTTAAGTAACGTTCCCTTTTCTCCATTGAGTGCTTTGTGGTTCAGCAGACGCAAAAATTTTGATTGAACAATATAAACTATTGGCAACTCTGAAGTCTGAAACTAAAAACATGTTCAGCCAGTCTGTGTAAAAACTGCATGCAGTACATGTCCTGAGTTCTTTTACCAACGTCCCAATCTTTGGATGAGACGATTCTCAATTTCCAATCTCTTCTTCATCAACAAAGTATATCTGTCAACAAGGTCTTGATCACCAGCAGGCACCGCAAGCTTGCAGCTTAGGGATGTGTTCTCCAATTTCCCGAAATACATATTAGAGATGGGCACAAATTTTCCCTTCTTGTTGCACAACCAACCATGAGCAGCTCTCAACGCCGCTCCAAGGGAAGCTGAGTCTGTTGAAGAAAATGCAACCTTTTTTGTCAACTAAAGCAAGAATACTTCAAAAACCATCATACAAAAGTAGGGCCAATTTCCCTCGCTCATTCAGTACACAAAGAAGAGTATGCTCAAGAGAACTCTTAGCAGAACAGTATAATGAGTTTGTTTACCTGGCTTTTGGACTGTATAGACATTGCACCCAAAAATGGAAGCAACGATTGTCAGTATGTGATCATTTGCCGATGCTCCTCCAGTTGCAATAATCCTCTTTGGTGGAGAAGCCATTCCAAGTCTCTCAACATGAGCTCGCATGGAGAGCAACTGCCCCTCAATTAATGCTCGAACCTGTAAGTACCATTTAGGTCCCCATTTGTCTTTGAGTTTCACCTATAATCCTTTATGCTCATCCACTATTCAGATGAGTCTTCAATACAAGGTCACTTATACCTCTGAAGGCGGATCAAACTCCTCTATTTCACATTCTACTACTCCATCCGCAGAGTCACCAATGAAATTATCAAGAATGTAGCGGTGGAAACCAACTGAAGACCTAGCTTGGGAGTTGTGAGTTCATAATCTTCTCATGATATGGGAAATAAATCGACTTGTGTTATTTCAATGTAATTGTATTTTAGGAGTACACTGACCTGGAAGAGGAGGAAGTATTTCATGCTCTTTGTAATAAAAGCCGATCTTTCCATCTTTTGCAAGTAAGAAGTACCGAATGTTTATAAAGATGCTACAGTTAACAAGATATGAATCACATTTTTACTAACCATTCAAAGGCGGAGTTTGCTGTAGAAACATATTGAAAGCCTCCCAAGATCCATCTGCATAGCGATCACGTATATCTACAAGGATTTCATCATCACCAATAAGATGTACCTTAACTTCACGAACATCCTTACAGTTGTAAATCAGATACAAGCAGTACCTTCACGAGTCAAAGACCCATTCTTGTAGACCAACATTACCATGAAGCCTTTGGTATCTACCGGATTAGGAAATACATGTCCGTCTAGGCTAGGTCTATGATCAGTGGCAATCCCGAAGACCTGGATAATCGACATGATCACATATTAATCATGTTACTAAGATCCCAGATAATAGAAGGTTTTGGCTTTTCTTCCCCCAAATATAGTTCAAGCTACAGAAAGTACAAGACAAGATGAAGAAGAAGAAAAAAAGGAAATAGACAATTGACTTTTCTGCACATATGGTGTCTTTTGGTTGTCTTTATGCATCTCTTTGATAGTAAAGTTTGGTGTCCCTTTGAATTAGACATATATTATCCAACTTATGGAGTAAGTACACCAATTAAACGACAACATTTGATTTGACGGCTTAACATGTTATGAATGCCAAGCTCTTAGCCTAAGAAAACAGGCAATGTAGTGTATGCAAGAGAGCAAGCTTTAAGTCTCTTACGGTGTCACTTGTGCCAAGACTGATTGCAAGATCCCCATAAGTGTTGAGGGTCAACCCTACAGGATCCAAAAGTTCAGTTAGTAGTATGATGATACATGAAGTTTGATTTTATAAGGTAATACTAGTAGCAGATTTTTTCCAATTTGCTAATCTGTTTGCAGAGGCAGATATATTTTCCCAAAGCATAACATAAAATTGGCAGGTCTACAACCAGCTTGTTGTGTCATCTATCTACTAAAAAGATTGAATGAGGACTAACTGAAGGTTTGAAGATTAGGAAAATGAAAAATCAAAAGAAGAAGAAGAGATACAAGATTAGAAGGGAGTTTTTTCAATTTCATGGCAAGTGCATAAACCAAAATACATAACTGTTAATACTATTGACAGCAAAGAGCACTAAAGTGACTTGGAAAATCTGTATTTTTATTGATCATGAAAGCTTGCTTAAATACATAAAGTCAGCAACTGACTATCAATAAATGCTGCTAAAAATATGCTAAACAACTCTACTGCTAACTAAAAAGGAGGAATAGAACTTGAAGATAGCTAACAAACTTTCAAAAAGAAAAACAGAATCCTAAATATCTGCAAGAGAGTCAACACAATCTGGTGTGTATTCCTCAACTCTGCAGCCTAACTAAGCTCCTGATTTTATTGACTGCAACACCATTGCAATTTTTGAGGCAACTGCAACACTCCTCCTGCCTCAAGAATTGCAGACTCCAAGTTTGCTTCTAAGAAACTCAAATCTATTAACATGAAATGGCTTTGTAAACAGATCAGCAATTTGATCTTCTGACCTGCAATACATCAATTTCACCTCTCCTCCTTTTTGCACTTCCCTAAGAAAGTACAATTTGATATTAAAATGCTTGGTTTTACCATGAAAAACTGGATTATGAGAAATTGCTATGGCTGCCTGATTATCCACAAACATGTGCTTGCTTGTTGCTCCAGATCAAGATCTAACACGATTTTCCTTAGCCAAAGAGCTTGATTAACTGCTGCAGTTGCAGCAATGAATTCAGCTTCTGTAGTTGACTGTGCTACAATTTCCTGCTTCTTTGAGCACCATGAAAAACATCCTGAACCAAGGCTAAAACAATAACATGAAGTGCTTTTCATATCATCAACTGAACCTGCCCAATCACTAACAGAATAACCTTGCAACTTGAAAGTCTGACACTTAGAGAACTTAACACCATAGTCTAAAGTTCCCTTGACGTACCTTATCACTCTTTTGGCTGCTTTCATGTGCGTTTCACTCGCACAATTTAGAAATCTGGACAATGCACTTACTGCCTGAAGAATATCAGGTCTAGTGGCAGTGAGGTACATAAGACATCCAATCATACTTCTGTAACTAGCCTTGTCAACCTTGTTACTACCATCATCCTTGACCAGCTTCTCTTTCTGATTTATTGGAGTGTTCATAGGCTTGCAATCTTCCATTTTGAACTTCTTCATAATCTCTCTTGCATACTTCTTTTGGCAAATGAACACTTCATTTTGGGTTTGATGAATCTGCATTCCAAGAAAGTAAGACATTTCTCCCAAGTCTGTCATTTCGAATACTTTCTTTATCTCTGCCTTGAAGTCCTCGATCATTTCAAGGTTGTTGCATGTTACAAGAAGATCATCAACATAAAGTGATATAATCACAATATCAGAATCTCTTTTTCTAATAAAGAGAGTTGATTCACTTAGGCTTTTCTTAAAACCAAAGCCTTGCAAATGCTCATCAATTCGACTGTACCAAGCCCTTGGAGCTTGCTTTAAACCATAAAAGGCTTTCTTCAATAGATAAACTTTATCTTCATGTCCCTTTACAGAAAAACCTTGAGGCTGCTCCACATAAATCTGCTCCTGCAGAAAACCATTTGAAAAAGCTGACTCGACATCTAACTGAAAGATTCTCCAACTTTTTTGAGCAGCAATAGCTAGTAACAATCTTATAGTATCAAGTCTAGCAACTGGAGCAAATGTTTCCGAATAATCAACTCCAAAAATTTGTGAGTAACCTTTCACAACAAGCCTAGCCTTGAGCTTGTTAACAGAACCATCAGCATTTAATTTAGTGCGGTAAACCCACTTCACCCCAATGATCTTCCTATCTTAAGGCTTTTCCACAAGCTGCCAAGTCTCGTTTTTCTCAATCATTGCAAGCTCCTCCTGCATTGCAGCTTGCCACTTAGGATATGAAATGGCTTCCTCGAATCCAGACGGCTCTAAAATAGCCACATTGCATCTCTGGTATATGTCAGAGAGCAACCTCGTTCCTCTCACAGGTTGATGATCAATGCTTTCATCAATATCGGGTAGATTGTTTGTAATCTGCTTCTGCTTACCTTCTTCCCAGTCCCATTGCTCATTCTCCATAAAAAATACATCTCTGCTTATCACAATTTTTCCTGTATGAGGCTGCAAAATTCTGTAAGCTTTAGAGACCGTGCTATAACCAATAAACACTCCAGGTTCAGCTTTCTTGTCTAGCTTGTCTCTCTTAACCTGTGGAATATAAGAGAAACACAAACAACCGAAGATCTTTAAGTTTTTTAAGGAAGGTTTGTACCCATGCCATGCCTCAAAAGGTGTCTTTCCCTCCACTGCTTTTGTAGGCAACCTGTTCAGCAAAAAAATAGCAGTGTTAGCTGCTTCTGCCCATAAATTCTTTGGTAGGCCCTTCTCATGTAACAAGCACCTCGACATCTCCATTATCGTCCTATTCTTCCTTTCACTAACCCTATTCTGTTGCGGAATATATGGGGCAGTGAGTTGATGCTCAATTCCTGTATTTTCACAGAACTTTTCAAATTGATCTGATGTGTACTCAGTACCATTATCTGATCTCAGCATTTGTATCCTGCAACCACTTTGATTTTCTACCAAAGCTTTGAATTTCCAGAACACTTTAGGTACTTTGGATTTGAACCTGAGAAAATATATCCAACACATTCTTGTCATATCATCAATGAATGCTATGAAATATTTACTTCCTTTGAGAGAAGCAGTCTTATGTGGTTCACACAAATCGGTAAAAACTAATTGAAGTTTCACTGATGCTCTCCAGGTTGCCTCGGGAAAAGGCATCTTGCTTTGCTTTCCCAATTGACATGTGCTGCAGCTTGCGAGTTCCTCCTCCATAGGTGGTAGTCCCTGAACCATATCTTTCTTCGACATGTAAAAGAGTGCCCTCTGATGGAAATGCCCGAGTCTCTTGTGCCATACATCTGCAGTTATCACATGGTTTGGATAGGCAGCCAAATTTTCCTCCATCGGATCAAAGGAAAAACTTCTTCCTCTCATTTTAACTCGACAGACTTCTTGACCCTTTGGATCAAAGATCACACACATCCTGTCCTCAAAACTAAGCTTGAAACCATTCTCCAAAAATTGCCCTACGCTCAACAAATTTTGATCAATTTCAGGAACAAAGAGCACATCCGTAATTAACTTTGTACCTGAGTAACTTTCAATATCTACTGTGCCTTTCCCTTTGGCAGGAAGATAATCACTATTACCAATTTTGACTTTAGAGGTTACAGATTTGTCTAACACTTTGAAAATTTCCTCATCATGAGTCATATGATTTGTACAACCACTGTCAATTAACCAACTTTCACTTGAACTTTTGCTTGCAAAACATGTCGCCACAAACAATTGCTCTTCTTCTTGTTGTTCTACAATTTGTGATTCATTTGAATGTTGCGGTCCTTTCTCTTTGCAAATAATCTCAGCATGCCCAAGTTTATGACACTTTTTGCATCTCCTATCAGGTTTTCTCCAACATTTGAAGTGTGGATGGTTTCTCTTCCCGCAACAAGGTGGATATTTTCCACCTTTGTTGTTGTTGCTTTTATCAGTTGCAGCAGCTTCTGTTGACGTAGAATAGCTCTTCTTGCCCTTCTGCTTCTTGCCTTTGCTGCCAGGGTTGAATAGTTGCCTTGCTTGCAAAGCTCCTTCAACAGCTCCCTCGTTCCTCATCAATCTTCTTTGTTCTTGTGCTTGCAAAGAGTTTAAAAGTTCCGCCAAACTAATGTTTGACAGATCTTTTGTATTTTCCAGCGAATCAATTGTTGCTTCAAACTTCTCAGGTAAATTAACAAGAATTTTCTGCACAATTCTTTTGTCAGAAAATTCGGCGCCAAGTAACTTTACCTTATTTGCCAGATTGATAAGCCTATCTGAGTACTCCTTAATAGTCTCAGATTCCTTCATTTTTTGCATTTCAAATTCCCTCACCAGGTTTAAGACCTTCATGCCTCGAATTCTTTTCATGCCTCGAATTCTTTCATCTCCATAATATTCTTTTTTCAGAAAGTCCCAGATTGCCTTAGCAGAACTAAGAGTCATGATTCTGGAAAAAATAGTAGGAGATACTGCAGCATAGAGACACGCCTTTATCCTTCGACTTCCTGGTCTTCTTTTCTTTGTGAGTTTTGATCTGAGTCATGGTAGGATTGCCTGGTGAAGGAGAAACTTCATAATCCTCCTCTACTGCCTCCCAGAGATCACATGCGTCCATGTAGGCTTCCATCCTGACAGCCCAAACCTGATAGTTTTCTCCATCAAAAACTGGTGGAGCAATTGATGAAAAGACACTCTCACCTTCCATAATTCTTTAAGGCGATTTTATGGATGGTCTGATTATGTGTTTGGGTTTTCACTCAGTTGATAACTCACACTCTCACAACTCCCTTAAGAACAAAAAAAGCTCTGATGCCACTGTTAATACTATTGACAGCAAAGAGCACTAAAGTGACTTGGAAAATGTGTATTTTTATTGATCATGAAAGCTTGCTTAAATACATAAAGTCAGTAACTGACTATCAATAAATACTGCTAAAAATATGCTAAACAACTCTACTGCTAACTAAAAAGGAGGAATAGAACTTGAAGATAGCTAACAGACTTTCAAAAAGAAAAACAGAATCCTAAATATCTGCAAGAGAGTCAACACAATCTGGTGTGTATTCCTCAACTTCTGCAGCCTAACTAAGCTCCTGATTTTATTGACTGCAACAACATTGCAATTTTTGAGGCAACTGCAACAATAACAAAGCTGCATAGAAGCTGGATAGCCTAAAAGTAGTCAGGTCTTATTCGGTACAGAAAGCCAAAGGTTGTTGTCATAACTCAACTTGCTTTAAGCACCAGAATGATGACACTAATCACTTTACAAACTGCGTATCTTTTGTAGTCCTTTGTGGACAATGACAGCTATGTCTCAATCCCATACTAGTTCGGTTCTGTGGACAACCACAGAGAATTTAGAACAGGTCAATTGCAACTTGCAATTGAATAGTAAAATGAGTCATCTAGGTGACTAGGCACTAGAATCTCTAGTGGCAAAATAATAGCTTCTCAAATAGATCAAGCATCAATATCAAGCCTCTAAAAGTCATAAAGAGAATCTAAAAGTATATTAAACAATTTAGTTCTTATACGCGTCATACAAAACTGAGGAAACAAGGAATTCACCTGCTAAGCTGTTAGGATTGTCTCCAGACCACTGAACAACTACACAATTTTTGTTGAAGTGGTACCTGCAAGCTGTTCTTTTTCAGAGAAACATGAACTAGCAGAAGAATGAAGCACAAGTTGGTATCATAATAAGTTACCGTAGAGAATGTTCGTTATAGTCAGGACATTCCATGCAGATATGCTTAATGAGCGAAGGCATCGTAGAGAATACAATACTAGTTATGGTCAGGACATTCCACACAGATACACTTTTAGATTAGACTTGAATATCGCAAAATTTGTGTGCCTTAGTATCTTTGGTCTCAGCTTAACTTTGATAGGATTTTAATCAGCTAAGATAAAGGACGTAATACTCGTATTGGAAGGGAAATCCCAAAATGGAAAAACAATAGTAGTAAAAGGGAACAAAGAATTGTAAATAGCATGTCGATTGTCGCTAACCTCTCAACATAATAGGAGGCAATAGAACCAGCAACAGCATAAGCAGGTGCTAACTTTCCAAGTTTCTCCTCTAAACCAGGTGCAGTAGCCTAGAGCAAACACAATTTTGGCACAATCAACTGTAGTACTAAGCAAGCTATCAACTTCCTTTGAAATATGGTAGTAGTATGGAAATTTGACTAAACTAACATGATTACAGTAGATTTCAAGTAATATCACAGTGGACAAGAAACAACCTCCAGAGTTATCTTGGACCAGGTTCTGTGCTCAATGTCCATGAGATTCATTCCCGCGCCATCAGTTTGATCAATGCAAGCGTATCCACCAATAAGGAGTGACGCCATAAAAGAACTAACTAGCGATATCCTCTCTGTATTCCGATAAATTTCAGGCTGTGTTTCGAAAATCTTTCGAATTTGAGGACCGACATATCTTTCATGTGCTCGAGAACCAGTAAGTTTGGCCAACTCCAAACCACCACCAACAGCTTTCTCAATAGCTTTGCATTGTTCTGTGGTGCTACAGTCCATCCACATGGGCGATTCCTTGATCGAAAAAGCATCATGAAATTGATCCACAAGTACTTTTTTAGGATCCAAAGATGATAATATCTTAGAACTCCCATTTTTCCAATAAACACTACCATGTTGCTGAGCACTACCAGAAACAGCTGCAATTTTTCCAAAGTCAACATTTGACTTTTCAAGTCTGTGGAGAATGAGGTCTAGTGCTTCAACCCACATTAATGTTGGTGATACAATTCTGCCACTTACGAATGGGTCTCGAAATACTCCACCTTTTGTATTGTAGTGAGGCAACTCAGAATCATAATTCACAAGTTCTGATACAACTATGTTGAGATTAGCATCTAACACAGTTGCCTTCAGTGACCTAAGAAAATCAAGACCCATAAAAGTTTTTCAGTTAAAGATCCAATTTTTATTATCACTTCTCTTGATTCTTGAACAGATTCAAGGAGTACCAAGTTCAGTGAATTACCAGAAACAGAAGTAAGCAACATGACTTAAGCTTATTGTTGTTATGGTTATGGATATAATCAAGTTGGGGGAAAATTACAAAGTTTGATTAACTGTGCTATATAATTTATTTATCTAGGATATGCAAGAACTTACTGAGTGGAACAGTCAAAACCAAGGAACAATGAGTCCTGAGGGAGAGAGCAATCTTCCATTTATGAAAACTAAATGAGAAATTCAAGCAAAGCTAAGAGAATTGGTTCATTAACAGAGCTTTGAAGGATTAGATACTTTAGGCATCGTTTGGTTTGAGAACAAGTTATGCTAGGATTAATTACGTTGAGTTATACATGAATTATTTTTTAACCTATTTTCTTTTTGGTCCGTTCAAAAGAATGACCTCTATCTAAATTTGAAAATAATTTAGCTTAAACTTCCAATTCTACCCTTAATGAGAAGCTTTTATAACCATACAAATACTCTGGATCCTTTTCTGACATGTTTAGGACCACAAATTTCAAAAGTTTTCATTTTTTATTAGACCCTGTGCCCAGTCAAACAGATTCACATAAATTGAAACGGAGTAAGTATTAATTTTGGGATTGTCAATTTTAGTGATTTATCCTGGAATTACTATTCTGCTAGATAACATCTGACAGGTATAAGGTATCCACGACTACTATTTTTAATTCTAGGATGGCTTATAGCATATCGCCAAGCTTGTAAAATCAACTTATCATGAAGAGTGTTTATCTTAAAAGTACTTTTCTCAAAAGTACATTTGGTGAGAAGCAATTTGTGTTTGGCTAATTAATTTAAAAAATAATTTTGAGTAGCAATTAGTGTTTGACCAAGCAATAAAAAGTGCTTTTTAAGTGTATTTTTCTCAAAAGTGCTTTCGTACGAAAGCTACTTTTTTCTCCAAAATTGCTTCTGCTTCTACTCAATGCACTTTTTTTTCTTTCTAAAAGCTTAGCCAAACACTTCAACTTTGAAAAAAAAGATATTTTTTTTTAAGAAAAAAAGTACTTTGGTTTTGAAGAAGCTTGGCGAAACATGCTATTATCTCATAATTAGTAACCAAATAAAGAATAAGATGATATAAAATTGACACGAGTACACGAAACATGGATCTTGTTAAGATACTTATCGGCATTTGGACATGAATTGGTTGATAGTTGAAGTTAAGTTGAAAAAGAATTTTTAGAAATATAAGTAGGAATATGTGAACTACTTTGTCTTGCTGAACGATGGAAAGAATCGTTGGCAAGTATGTCTTTATATAGGGTTTAGAGAGGGTACAGAATTATATTTCAGTAAGATCAAGCACATGCATAACCTAGATGATAAACCTAACTCTTCATATTCTTGCCATACTTTTTTTTCTCCCTCTTATCATGTAGAAAATACTCTTAACTTCAGCAAGCATAGCATGACTTAATATAGCCTAGTACCGTTTTAAATTAAGCAAATCATTAAGGGAAATACTTCAACAGAATATCCTTGTCAATCGCACTTTAATATATATAGTAATCTAATTTTTCTAATGTATTCGAAATTCTTTTGGATAAACAAGAGATAATTAAATTGGATAAGTTAGAATAATGCAATTAACATTTTTAAGGTTTTGTATGATCTTGGAAAAAGGATAATTTAAAAGCATTTTAGAAAGACGAGAAATTTGACTTTAAGATTCTTTTAGAAAGTATGACACACTAATTTATAGTACTTTTTTTGGGTATATATATATATATATATATATAAAAACTACACGAATCAAAAATTAACATATCTTAATTAGTGGGGGAATAGGGGATGAAAGTGTTAGCAAAAGAGCAGGAAAACATGAAAAGGAAAGAACGTACTTTGCCAATGCAAAAAACCAAAAAAATTCCTATATACTGCATACCCCTATGATATTACTCATTTTTAGACATGCGTATTTCTAAATGAAAAAAGCTTGTGGTAACACTTAACAGCAGTGTATTAAAAGACTAAACGAACACTATAATAGGGATGTATAGATTTCTCATATTCTAATTTCTAATTCTCAAAAAAGAAATTCGTGCCCTACTAGTCCTTGGCGATTTACACAAGCTACTAACAGAAACAGAGACATCTCCCAACTTTTGAAGGGGCTGAGATCAGAGGAGAAAATGAGGATGGGAATAAGTTTTGCGGTGTATTTATTAAAAATGAGAAAAAACCACCTATCTTACAATTCTTTTAGTTATAAGTTATATACCATCACTAGAAAAACTTAGGCGCAAATCATCATGAATTCAGATATTCAATCATCTGATAGCCTTGTCGAATTTGTTTACACAGAGAATAGGCTTATTCTTAACTGGAAGATGAAAATAGAATGAAAAAGAATGTTCTCATGCATCAAGGAAAACAAAGAGTCAAATAATCTGACATCTTTATTACTCTCAAATTATTGGACCCTGCTGCCTTGGATACTCTCAAGATCACAAACGCCCCAGCTTTTCGACCAGGCGATTCTCAATTTCAATTCTCTTCTTCATCAACATAGCGTACTTGGCGACAAGCTTTTGGTCTCCTGCTGTTGCCGCGAGCTTGCAGTTAAGTGATGTCTTGTCCATATTGTCCATGTACATGAATGAAATTGGCACAAAGTTACCCTTCTTGTTGCACAGCAAACCATGAGCAGCCCTCAAAGCAGCACCAAGTGAAGCTGAGTCTGCAATATTAGGAAGCAATGAGAATCCATCGCATGTCATTCTTGATTAGGTCATTGTAGCAGTACTCGTCTCTTACTTAGGGATTAGCGACTATTGGATTAATATAAGCAGTAACCAACTAGGACATTCTAGATATTTAGGCAAAAAGAAATAATCGGGAGATTAACTAACCTGGCTGTTGAACTGTGTAAACATCACATCCAAATATGGAAGCTATCAAGCTTAGGATGGAACTATTTGCAGAAGCACCTCCTGTTGCAATTATTCGCTTTGGAGGAGAAGGCATTCCGAATCTTTCAGCATGAGCTCGCTTAGAAAGAAACTGTCCCTCTACTATGGCTCGAACCTGCAGATAAATATGTGATTCATAAATGTAACTTACCTCTTCTTGCACATCCACTTGATATCTATGCGCAAAACGTGCAAGTATCTTTACATGAGAACTATTTTAAGTCTAACCTCAGAAGCAGAATCAAATCCTTGCACTTCATGCTCTTTTATTCCATCAAGAGAATCTCCCGTGAAGTTCTCAAGGATATAGCGGTGGAAACCAACTGCATGAACAGCTATTTCTTAGAATTACCAACTAATAAGTTTTGATGAAAATAAGTAGCTAGATGCATGAGAACTTGACAAACACACACACACACATAAAGATCAAAAATTTAAGGTTAATTCTAACAAACCGAGGATATCCACATGATATTTTGAGGGCCTCAACGTCTCCATGTGCTATTTCAATGCAAACTAATTGGTTTATCATATAAAGGCTGTTTGCTTTTCAATTTTAAATCTAGTACTCATTTAACAGAGATAGTGTGATAGACCTAAGCGTCAATGCAAAACTGGTTAAATTCCCAGACACAAATATAGACAAGTTTATATACATATCCACTCCAGTTTCGGCGTTGATCTAGGGATTTATTTATCGGCTTCCTGCACCCTCCTAAGCATGCTCAAGCTCTAATTTTTAAGAACTTTTCATCGTCTCTCTGCAACTCAACCTTGATTCTAACAAAAATGAAGGAGGTCAATGCACCTGAAGGCCAAGAATAAAGCCCCTCCCCGTTTGCTGGCACCAGAAAGAGAATAGAGATGCCAGCCAAAGATTCAACTTCTTACCCTCAATCAAATGTGAAACTATCAAACCAGTAATAAATGGAGAGACCCCAACTTTTCCCATAGCAAAAAGACAATACAACTTTTCGAGAAATGCTAGCACGACAAGTACCTCATTCTCAACTTAGATAAAAACAAGAATATCAAATACCAAAAGAAATTACCTGGGAGGGGCGGCAGTATCTCAAAATCCTTATAGTAAAAGCCTAATCTACCACCTGCATCAGATATCAGAATCATTTAAAATCCAAGAAAGGAAAAAGATAGAAAAATAGTATATGGGTGCATTATTGCTTTACTAACCGTTTAGTGGAGGCGTTTGCTGCAGATATTTATTGAAAACATCCCAGGATTTTTCAGCATAATGATTGCGTATGTCTGCCAAGGATATTCATACTCAATAAAATCAACTAAAGCTATTAAATCCTTTTCCACTATCTGCTGACATCAATATTTTACCTTCACGGGCAAGTGATCCGTTCTTATAGCACAACATTACCATGTAGCTTTCAGTATCCACAGGATTAGGGAAAACATGCCCTTCCAAGCTTGGATTGTGATCCTTAGTTATTCCAAAAACCTTTAAAATAAAAACAAAAAAAGGCATAATGGACAGGCATATTTAGCTGAAATTGTTGATAAAATAAATTCTCAGTATCATGTTACAGAACAGTAGGCTGTAATATTTGGAATCCACACTTCATTTATTCTCTCTTCTCTCTTCTCTGCAGCAGAAAGTCAATACTAACAGGACTGACTATTCTGTTTCTTGAAGCAAGCAATTTTTTTCAGCTTGATCATGTGTTCAACAAGCTTAATGAATCCCCGTATAAGTCCAGATCACCCTCATCTCAAGAAGCAGTAAGTCCAGGGTGTTTTGATAGAAGGACAATATACATAGGTCATGATTTTAGTCCATTAGATAGAAGAATGTACGATGAAGTATAGTGTTGCCAGCATTGTTTGGCCTTCATGCCTTCGTTTGGCGATTTGTGATTAGCTTATTTTGTTGGTCTATTTACATCATAATTATAAAAAAAAGTGAACTATCATAACATAAAGAAACAAAACAAGCAGTGCATCCCTTTTAAAGGGGTTAAAGAAAAAGTGCAACACTAATAACAAAAAAAACAAATGGAAAAGAAAAACCAACTTACTGTATCACTAGTGCCAAGACTAATTGCCAGATCTCCTGGAGTATTTAACGTCAACCCTGAACATCAGAAAGCCAAATAATCAGGACACTGTAAACTATGAGATAATATAACTATTAGGTTGACATGCATGAAAACTATTATTGCCCAAAGGCAGAACCGCAAATCACAAAAAAAGATTTAGTTCTAAAACAGCTAACTACACCAATTTTTGGACCTACTCACATGTGAAATTATGTATCAAGGATTATCAGTATTATGATACATCAAAACCCTTTCGTGAGTGCATGTTTATGAGATTACACCATAAGCTCTAAGATAATTGAAAGATATCTGAAGCCTAAAAACTAGGTGATGACCAGATCTCTGCATTCTATTTTATGTTCACACTTGAGTAACTCAAGAATCAGTCCCAGCCCCATCAACTTTGCCAGGCAAAAGTTAGGATGTTGAGTTGGCACGAAAATGTTATTGAACTGAGCCTTCATAAGTTTGTCATATATACATAGAGATGAGAATCAAAACCATCTGGCAGTGTGCTGCTTTTGCATATAACTATATAAGTGAACATCCTAATGCGATGACCAAATAGCAAGCAGAAGTTCGAGAAAAGTATCTATCAGAAACATGCATAGAATCCTGAGAAAACATCCTCTCACCTGCCAAGCTGTTGGGATTATCTCCAGACCATTGAATGATCAAACAGTCTTTGTTGAAGTGATACCTGAAAGTAGGTTTATGGAAGATTTAACTCTCAGATAGCAAATATAAGAGAAAGTATCTGTTCTAACATCTAAGAAAGAGCACACATATAACACTGACACATCGTGAAATGTGAACCCAGCTACACATTTCGTACCGTAGTGCCTCTCTAACCAATTCACCAGCTATGCTAGAGAAGAGGGCAATAGAGACAATGTATTGAATGGATGATTAATATCTACTAATATCCTCTCCTGCTGTCTATAGCCACTAACTATCCCAATTTATGTTTGCTATCTGATCATTATCAAGTATTAATAAAGAATAGAAACTATGGGATACAGTAATGGGATAATGAAAACTTGTCATCATTTGTAATCTCCATTAGGAAGATCCGAATATCAATTTGATCATTAATAGTGACTTCCTAGGTAAGGACACAAAGGAGCTTAACATGAATCCTCCCATTAACACCCACTGATTTAGCTCAAGAATATTTGGCCAGAACGGTGGTGGTGGTGGTGGTGTGTGTGTTGGGGGGGGGGGGGTGAACACTTTGAATTTCTTCGGATGAAACTGAGTTTAACGAAAGGAAAACATATAACGGTCTCTACCTCTCTACAAAATAGGAAGTAATAGGTCCAGCAACAGCATGTGCAGGAGCTAATTTTCCAAGTTTTTCCTCCAAACCAGGAGCTGTGGCCTGGAGAACCAAGTAAAGCTCAAATTAACCAGACAACATCATTAAGATTCATCCAAAATCTAACAATGAAAAAAAAAGCACTAATTTCTTCACTAACACATAATACTCACCAAGAACTACAACAACAACAAAATAAAAATTCTAAAAGATATTACAAAAGGATTAGATTTATTTAGAGCTGCTCAGTAGTTCTCATTATAAACCAGAATACCTTCAAAACGATTTCGGACCACGCTCTCAGCTTAATATCCATCAAGTTCATCCCTGCACCATCAGTGTGATCAATGCTGGCATATCCCCCAATAAGCAAAGATGCCATAAAGGAGCTAACAAGGGAGATTCTCTCAGTATTATGATACACTTCCGGCTGTGTCTCAAACAATCGACGTATCTGTGGACCCGTAAATCTCTCATATGCACGAGAACCAGTCAGTCTAGACAACTCCATTGCCCCACCAACGGCTTCCTCAATCGCCTTGCATTGTTCTGTCGTGCTGCTGTCCATCCATATAGGAGATTCCTTCGTCGAAAAAGCATCATTTAGTTGCTCAACCAATGATTTCTTAGAGTCTAGAGATGATAAAATCGCGGCACTCCCATTCTTCCAATACACACTACCATGCTGCTGTCCACTACCTGAAACAGCAGCAATCTTCCCAAAATCTAATTTTGAAGATTTTTCGAGTCTCTGAAGGACCAATTCAAATGCCTCTACCCACATCAATGTGGGTGAAACAATTCTGCCACTTACTAAAGGGTCACGATAAACACCACCTTCAGTTTTGTAATGTGATAATTCAGAATCAAAATTAATTAATTCTGCAGCCACAATATTCAGATTGGCATCAAGCACAGTAGCCTTCAATGACCTAATAATCCACACACACAAAAATAAAGGTTAACATACATGCCCTAATTAAATTATTTTTCATGAAATCCCAAAAACCCAGTTAATAATAAACTTATGCCATTACAAGAAAATTCAGAAACCTAAGAGAATTAACCAAAATTGAGCAAAATGAACAAATCAAGAATGATATATTCAATATGCTAAATTGAAAAGGGAAAAAAAGCCACTACTACAATAAGACTATCAAAGATTTTGTGAATATTAAAAACAGTCGAGAAAATACAAAACAACATAATTGATGATTACTGAGTTAGGTACTTACTGAGTAGAACTGTCAAAGCCAAGGAAAAGAGCATCTTGTGGGAGTGAGGAATCCGCCATCGGAACAGGGAAAAAGGCTGTATAAAAATCAACTTTCTAAAATCCAATGATGAAATTTGGGATCCCTTTATAGTACGAGGTAATGATTATGGTTTGATTTAGATAAAGATACAATATTTTTGAATTTAAATAGAGATGATGATGACTGTGAAAGTGGTAATATCTGATTAGGATACTTATCAAATTTGTGTCCTACTTTATTTCTACTTAGGTCAACTAATCGAAGAAATAATCTCTTATTAATTATATCCTAGTAAGTTTGTAACAAAAAGATCCTTAGTTATTTATCATAAACCTTGTCATTTTACAATTTTGAAATTAGTAAAACATTTGGAATATTTTTCTCTTAAATATTTGGAGTTCAATTTCTTTTTCCATTGTTTCAACGATAGAAAAAGAAATATTGAGATCGAGTTTCAATTGTAAAAATAAGAGATTAATGTAATGCAATCTTTACGAATTGAAAGGATCATAAGTTAGATAGTCTTGTGACAACATATTGGTAGAAGAGACTAAAAATTACTTGAAATGTTAGATTACCGGGATCTAAATATCACAAAATACTCAAGTAATGACCCGAAATGCATACAGTAACGGAGTCAGAATTTTTACTAAGGAATATCAAAATATAAAATAAATTAAACACCCGAAAAAGGTAAGGAGATTTAACATATAATACATATGCATAAGGTAGAATTTTTTATTTAGTAACACATTATAATTGTCTGGCTAAGGAATGTCAGCTAACACCCCTCAGTTATACATGGCTCCGCTAACAAATGCATCTAATGGAATACTTTATGCAAGATGATATAGATATATCTATTTTTAGTAAATCACATAAATTTTGAAAATCTGTAAAATGAATTTTTGTTTTAGCCAAACAACCTTTTTAATTAGTTGGAGTCAAAGAACAATATATGAAAGGGAATTATAAATTTTCATTGGTTGAATATATAGGTAATCCTCTAAATTTGTTAAATTTTTTATGTGGACATCTTATTTAAGGTCATGACCTATTGAACATCTTATGTTAGTCAAATACCCTTCAAATAGATATTATTTTCCAGTTATGTTATTGTCACAACCCGAATTTTTCACCTTCGAGATCGTGATGGCGCCTAACATTGCACTCGCTAGGCAAGCTAACGTTACAAAATGTTACACCATTTTCCTTTATCACTTTATAATTGTATTTAACAAACCTAATTCAGCTGAAATAAAGGCAAAAGTACATGATTTAACTAGTTACTTTCATACTATTAACGAAAACAGAAGCAAATACCACCCAGAAACTGGTGTCACAACTCACGAACAGTCTACGTATACTACAAGTATTGGTCTGAAAGAAAAATATACATATGTCTCGGAGAAAATAAAACAGACTGAAATAAAGATAAGAGGGGACGCCAGGGCCTGCGGACGCCTGCAGAACTACCTTGGTTCTCCTGAGTGCAGTGAAAGCAACTAACCTCTCGATTAGCCACTAGCTCCGAAATCTGCACAGAAAGTGCAGAGTGCAGTATCAGTACAACCGACCCCATGTACTGGTAAGTGCCGAGCCTAACCTCGATGAAGTAGTGACGAGGCTACGGCGGGGCATAACAACATATACAACCTGCAATAGTTTATACTAAAACAGAAAGGAAATACAGAATGAAATAAAGTAGTAACTTGCATTAAATAAGTACGGAAATCGGTCGTTCTACCAATACTCAGCTATAACCAATCCTTAAGAGAGTTTCAACACCACAATAATGAACCTCAGCAGAATATGAATACATAAACAACAAATAATGCGGCGCGCATCCCGATCCCACCATATAATCAATAACAGTATAATCATTCACCCTTATAACTCTGTGATGACCCAAAAGGTCATCTCTTATTTTAGAAGTCAAATCTGTGTTCCGAGGCCTTAAAAACCTCCTTTCGTCTCACCTCGATTTGCGTGCGTAGTCCGGGCGCGTTTCCGGGAAGCTTTTATGTGAAATTTAAGGAAACGATTGATTTTGGCCTTTAAAATTTATTAAAGTTGACTTCGGTCAATATTTTTGGTAAACAGACCCGGACCCATGATTTGACGGTCTTGTAATATGGGACTTGGGCGTATGCCCGGAATCGAATTCCAAGGTTCCTAGCCCGAGAAAAGAATTTTTAAAGAAAATTATTTGCTGGAAAATATAAAGACTTTTGAAAATGAAATGGTGTGAGTTCTTGATGGTATCGGGTCCGTATTTTGGTTCCGGAGCCCGGTACAGGTTTAATATAATATTTAAGTCGAATCTGTAAAATTTGGTAAGAATCGGGGTTGATTTGATGTAAATCGGACCCTTAGTTGAGAAAATGGAAATTTCAATGTTCTTAAGAATTTCATGAGTTTTGGTGGTAAACTCATTGTTTATGAGGTTAATTTGATGATTTGATCACACGAGCAAGTTCGTATGATATTTTTAGACTTGGGTGCATGTTTGGTTTGGAGCCCCGAGGGCTCGGGCGAGTTTTGGAGAGGCCACGAAATGATTAGAACTTAGGAAACCCAGCTGTGCATCTGGTATTTTTGCACAGGCCTCTGATCTCGCAATTGCGAGATTAGGCTTCGCAATTGCGAAGTGATCAGGCCTGGGAAATGCGACAAATGTATCGCAAATGCGAACCAGGCCTGTGCAGGCCATCCTCGCAAATGTGAACTTTTGTACGGAATTTGCGAAGGAAGGCCCTTCTGTCGCAAATTTGACATTTTCATCGCAAATGCGAAGGTAGCAGAAATTTAAAGGGTTCGCAATTGCGAGCCCCTGATCGCAATTGCGATAACTGCACCCGTTAAGTGAGATTTCAAATGGGATTTTTCATCATTTTTCACTTCTCTCAAACCCTAAACATCCTTAGGCAATTTTTCAAAGGCTCAAACTTCTTCAAATCATAGGTAAGTGATTTCTAACTCATCTCTTCAATCTAATTCATCTTTTTACATGATTTCACTTCAGAATCTAGGGTTTTTCATGGGAAATTGGGTGTTCTTGGGTGGAAATTAGGATTTTTAAATTTTGGAGATTTGGACCTCAATTTGAGGTCAGATTGCAAAACTAATTGTATATTTGAGTTCGTGGGTGAATGGGTAATCGGTTTTGGTCCGAACTTCGAGTTTTGACCAAGCGGGCCCGGGGTCGGGTTTTGACTTTCTGGGGGAAACATAGGGAAATTCATATTCATGAATTAGAATTGGTTTATTTAGCATTTATTGATGTTATTAAATTAATTATGGCTAGATACGAGTGAATTGGTGGTGGAATCGAGAGGTAAAGCGGTGGTTGAGTGTTGAATTACCCGTTGGCTTGAGGTAAGTGTTTGGTTTAACCTTGACTTGAGGGAATAGGAATTTCCCACTTATGTGCTAAGTGAAATTTCATGTGTGTGGCGTGTAGGTGTGGTGACGAGTACCTATGCGCCACCAAATTTCCATTTTTAGTTTGTTCCCTTCCCTGTTTCCTATTATACCATCTCTTGTCTTATTTACTACTTGCTTACATGCCTTAATTGCTACTTGCTCGTAAATGCTTCCATGCCTAATTGCTTCATATTAACTGTTGCTCTCTTATTTGAAGTATCTAATTGTTTCATGGTTTTGCTTTATTACACTGTTGGCTTATATTAGGTTGTTGGTGCCTTATGGTGCACCTTGGTTGGTCTCGCTGATTAGTTTCATGGGTGAAGTTTCATATTCGTGGCAATATTCCATTGTGTGGGTTGAAGTATGAGAGATGTAGAATTCTAGTTAACTTGTGGAATACCTTGTATTTAATTTTTGTGATTGGTGTTGATATACATACATATGTTGGGATCGGGTTGCACGCCGCAATAGGAGGAATAAGAGAGGAAATTGATTGTTAGGCGGGATCGGGTTGCACACTGCAACAAAGGAGTAATAAGGGTGGACAGGTGGGATCGGGTTGCGCGCCGCAACAGGAGGAATAAGGGTGATATGTGTTGATGAGTAATAAGGGAGGACATGTAGGATCGGGTTGAGCGCCGCAACAAGGAGGAATAAGGGAGAATATTGATACTGTTATTGCTGGAATATTGATATTGTTATTATTTATATGGTGGGATCGGGATGCACGCCGCATCACTTATTGTTTTTGGCATTTATTTCTGTTGAAGTTATTATTGAGGTGTTAAAATTCCCTAAGGATTGGTTATAGCTGAATACTAGTNTTATGCCCCGCCGTAGCCTCATCACTACTTCGTCGAGGTTAGGCTCGGCACTTACCAGTACATGGGGTCGGTTGTACTGATGCTACACTCTGCACTTTTTGTGCAGATCCCAATGCTGGACCGTACGGGCCGTAGTTCGAGGTTGCTGCCTTCAGTCCAGTGGAGACCCGAGGTAGCCCTGCAGGCGTCCGCAGGCCTTGGCGTCCCCTTGTATCCTATTTCATTCCTGTTTTATCTATTTCCGAAACAGATCTGTATTTCTTTGTTCAGACTATTATGTATAGTATTCGTAGATGATCCATGAAATTGTGACACCAGTTCTGGGTGGAGTTTTATTATTATGGTATCGCAGTTGTATTAAGATAACTTGTTAAATTCTGCTCTTCCATTTTTATTCCGCTGATTTACCTATGTTAACTTGTAAAGTGTTAAAAGACAAACGGAAATGATGAAATAATTGGTAACGTTGGCTTGCCTAGCGAGTACAATGTTAGGCGCCATCACGGTCCCGACGGTGGGAAATTCGGGTCGTGACGTACTCCTTGTTGCGGCATGCAACCCGATCCCACCAGTCCACCCTTATTACTCCTCAATATATCACCCTTATTCCTCCAGTTGCAGCATGCAACCCGATCTCACCTGTCCACCCTTATTACTTCTTGTTGCGGCGTGCAACCCGATCCCACCAGGCAATTACATTCACCCTTATTCCTCCTGCTGCGGCGTGCAACCTGATCCCAATATACATATCAGCACCAATCACAAAATAAAGACAAGTGTTTCATAAGTTAACTCAAATCTCCCACAACACTTATACCTCAAACCAACACATTGGGATATCACTACAATTATGAAACTTCACCAATTTAAACTACACAGCGAGACCAACCAAAGTGTACCATGAAGCACCAATAAACCAACATAA